GTTTTCCTGCAAAATGTCTTGATAAACTCTGGAATTCATTTTCCCATCAATGACAACAATCCGTCCAGGCTCTGAGGCAGCAAAGCAGCCCCAAACCATGATGCTCCCTCCGCCATGTTTTACAGTGGGGATGAGGTTTTGATGTTGGTGTGCTGTGCCTTTTTTTCTCCACACATAGTATTGTGTGTTCTTCCCAAACAACTCAATCTTGGTTTCATCTGTCCACAGTATATTTTGCCAGTAGTGCTGTGGAACATCCAGGTGCTCTTTTGCAAACTTCAAACGTGCTGCAATATTCTTTTTGGACAGCAATGGCTTCCTCCGTGGTGTCCTCCCATGTACTCCATTCTTGTTTAATGTTTTTCTTATTGTAGATGTGTCAACAAAAATGTTAGCATGTGCCAGAGATTTCTGTAGGTCTTTAGCTGACACTCTGGGATTCTTCTTTACCTTATGCAGCATTCTGCGCTGTGCTCTTGCAGTCATTTTTACAGGACGACCACGCCTAGGGAGAGTAGCAACAGTGCTAAACTTTCTCCATTTGTAGACAGTCTGTCTTACCGTGGACACATGAACATCAAGGCTTTTGGAGATACTTTTGTAACCCTTTCCAGCTTCATGCAAGTCAACAATTCCTGGTCGTAAGTCTTCTGAGAGCTCTTTTCTGTGAGGCATGGTTCACATCAGACAGTGCTTCTTGAAACCAGTAAACCCAAAACAGGTGTGTGTTTTTTAAGGGCAGGACAGCTGTCAGCAACACATCCAATATCATCACACTGATTGGAGTCAAGGTTGGCTCACTCCTGGCTCCAATTAGCTCTGGGAGAAGTCATTAAGCTAGGGCCTCACATACTTTTTCCTCCCTGCACTGTGAATGTTTACATGTTATGGGCAATTAAACCATGGCAACATCTAATGTTTGTGTAGTATTATGTTCAGCAGACTGTGTTCTTTTATTGTTGTGACTTAGATGACGTTCAGAGCACATTTTATGCCCAATTCATGCAAAACTCCACGTAATCCCAAGGGGTTCACATACTTTTTCTTGCAACTGTACATTGGCCAAAGCTGGACCAATGTAACTATGTATAACATACTGATGCCTGGAATTATTCTTTACAGGGTAGAGTATATCCTACTTATCACTGTAACAAAATACAAGTGCTGATTTTGTGATATCTTAACATTCACTGTCTGTTTTTTATATCCTGCAATACACGGCGGGTATTTTTATTCCTCTTTAGATTTCCTGTTGACACTTGGCTCAAACTGTTTTATTATTTATTGTTCTCTTTACCGATGAAAGAGCCCTGTTTGTTCGGCTTTCATAACTGTTCCCCATATACAGTGGAACCAAGAAACCTGCTTTAAAGAAAGGTTCTGAAAATCAATTGGATAATAAAATACTTAATTGATTATATGCTTGTTTGAATGGGCAATAAGCACAGATTGTACAAAGCCAAGGGAGAGCTGTTTAATTAAACTGAGGTTTTTCTGTGTGTATAAAACCTGCAGGGCAGGTTGTGTAGGTAGTAATTGCTTATGTATACCAACATATATTGTTATATCCCATGGTGAAAAGAGATGAAAAAGCTCAGTTTGAATCTGCTGTAACTTTTCCTTAATAGCTGCATTAGTGGAACTGACATTAACAAAAAAAGAGAGAACATTAGGTAGAATAATCCAATTAAAAACCATTAAACCAAAAACTCATGTTAAACAATGAAGCTGTTCTCTCATAGGATGGATATTGAATTCATTTTCTTACAGGGAGCAATTTTCAGTCTTATCCTTTGTGATAGGCTCATTATGGAAAAGGGGCTGGCATGGTACATGGTAGCAGCAATTCATTTTTTTCAAATTTCAAATTTCGATATTTGTCTTTGATCAAGTCATTAAGGGAACTTTCATGGTCTTTGTAACCAGGAATCTTCTTTAAATGTCAAAAAATGCATGACATATATGTTTTATGTTTTCAGCCTACCTATCCTAACTTTTTCCTTTTTAAATGCAGAACCTATGGCAAACAACTAAATAAAATCTCAGAATTCATTCATTTATATTGCCTTTATTTCCAAAAAATCTGTTCATGCAGTCTGTTGATACAGACACCCTGCCAGACAGTAAAGCCTGTTTTTTAATCTTTCTGCTACCAATATTAAACAATACAGTTTACCTTCTGCTAATTGAGCAATGAAGGAGCATATTTTATACTGAATGAATTCATCAAGAGAACCTGTCATTTTGCCCTGACTACATCAAACTAGGTGGCGAGGTCTGAGTTATATTGACTTTTTGTTCTTTTTTGTTTTGTTTTGTTCATTAAGTATTCACTAGTTTAATTGTTCTGCAGGTTGTGTATTGAATGCTTGTGCTGCCTTTGTCGACCATTAAAACCATGCAAAAGAGTGCAAGAGATTTTAGCATGAGTGTATTTTTTGACTAAATAATGGTATTTGGAAGCCAAAGCATGTAAAAACACTTATACCACACATAAGTTTTTATTCATTTTACAGAGATGATGAGTACAAAAATAATAAAGTGTTCTATGGTGCTTACCCTGTGCTGTGCTATCCATAGAGATCTGCAGTGCTGATTGTGGGCTGTGTGCTATCCATAGTGCTGATTGTGGGCTGTGTGCTATCCATAGTGCTGATTGTGGGCTGTGTGCTATCCATAGTGCTGATTGTGGGCTGTGTGCTATCCATAGTGCTGATTGTGGGCTGTGTGCTATCCATAGTGCTGATTGTGGGCTCTGTGCTATCCATAGTGCTGATTGTGGGCTGTGTGCTATCCATAGAGGTGATCCTGGGCTGTGTGCTATGCTATTCTGGGCTGTGTGCTGTCCATGGTGCTGATCCTGTGCTTTGTGCTATGTATAGTGCTAATTTGTTGGCTGTGTCTGTCCATGGTGCTAAGTTCTATCCATAGTGCTGATTCATTATTTATTTCAGGTACTTATATAGCGCTGTCAATTTACACAATGCTTTACACATATATATTGAACATTCACATCAGTCCCTAACCCTCAAGGGGTGTACAATCTAAGGTCCCTAACTTACATTCATAAATACACATATTAGGGCCAATTTAGACAGGATCCAATTAACTTACCAACATGTCTTTGAAGTGTGAGAGGAAACCGGAGCACCCGGAGGAAACCCATGCAAGCACAGGGAGAACATGCAACTCTATGCAGGAGGTGCTATGATCGGGAATCGAACCCATGACCCATTTACTGCAAGGCAGACGTGCTAACCACCAAACCACTGTGCCGCCCACATTATTATTATTATGGGCTGTATTCCATCTAAGGTGCTAATTCTGCACAGTGTGCTATCCATAGTGCTGACTTTGGGCTATACACTGTTCATTGTTCTGACCCAGTGTTCTGTGTTATCCATAATGCCTATTTTGTACTGTATATTATCCATAGTGCTGATCCTTTGCATGGTCCCGACCAAAGTGCTGATTTGGTGCTGTGCACTGCCCAAAGTGGCGATTTGGTGTTTATTTCCCGTGGTGATGGTCCTGTGCTTTGTGCTATGTATAGTGCAGATTCTGTGCTGTGTGCTGTCCATGGTGCTGATCCTGTGCTTTGTGCTATGCATAGTGCTGATTTTTATTTGGCTGTGTGTTGTCCATGGTGCTAAACATGTGCTGTGTGCTATCCATGGTGCTGATTATGGGCTGTATTCCATCTACGGTGCTGATCGTGCACAGTGTGCTATCCATAGTGCTGACTTTGGGCTATACACTGTTCATGGTGCTGACCCGGTGTTCTGTGTTATCCATAATGCCTATTCTTTACTGTATATTATCCATAGTGCTGATCCTTTGCATGGTCCCGACCAAAGTGCTGATTTGGTGCTGTGCACTACCCAAAGTGGCGATTTGGTGTTTATTTCCCGTAGTGATGGTCCTGTGCTATGTATTGTCTATAGTGCTGAACCTGTGCTGTGTACAATCCCCAGCACTAATACTGTGTTGTGTACTATTCATAGTGCTGATCCTGTGTTGTGTAATGTCTGTAGTGCTCTGTGTACTATCCATAGTGCTTATCTAGTGCTGATCTTATGATGGGTACTGTCCAAAGTGCAGGTCCTACAATGAACACTATCAATAATGTTAATCCTAAGTCATGCACTCTTCATGGGGGTTGATTTACTAAAAGCAAATAGTCTGTGTGCACTGCCAGATCTGAGGGGAAGCTTTGAAATGAAGGGAAGCTCTGTTGATTTATATCATCCAATCATGTGCAAGTAAAAATGCTATTTTTTTATTTTCCTTTCATGTTCCAACCAGACCAGGAGCAACTGCACTTGCAGTGCATAGACTATTTGCTTTTAGTAAATGAACCCCATAGTGTTTATCATGCGTTGTGATTTCATCTTTGGTATGGTCATTGCTTTCTGAAGGGTTTTAACCTTCCTGGCGGTATGATTCTTTCGATTTTTTGTGCTGAAAGCGGTACCATTTTTTTTTGCATGGAAATATGTAGTTTTTTATTGTAGGCTGTAACTTTTAGGAATAACTCACTGAAATCTGTCCGAAACAAGAGTCTAGTAAACATTCTGGATATGATAAGACTTGAACCACGAAATCATAAATTATAATTTAATAAATAATCATAAAAAATAATAATATAATAATAATACATTTAATTCAATAATATAATCAAAATAAAAACACTGAAATTTGAAATATAGCACCAAGTTCACACATCGCTGAGCAAAGTCGCAGAATCGTTTTCAGTGTCTGATGACGAATTTCCCCACAAATCATTATCACTCAATTTTGCAAGTGGTTCTGATTTACTATCGCTGTTCTCTAGCCGGTCTAAAACCGCTTTTGACATAAATGGACGCTTTTTGGACACCATGGACTTTTCTAAGTTTCCAGGCAGAAATAACAGTCAAAATGCAGGCAGGGCACAGGACAAAGCAGTAGGGACAAAATGTATGTGAAATGTTTTGAAACAGCAATGTTTTACTATGTAATAATCATTTTTAAAAAATGACATTTTTAAAAAAAATTTCAAATTTGCCACTGGTTCCGGCGCCCGTACATCCCGACGTCACAGGGACCGAACACGTAAGCCGGATGCCGGCATCGGCCGGAGAAGATGGCCGGGGACGCTGCAGGGGACACATCGCGGGAGCGAAGGACAAGGTAACTGCTGCAGGGACTCCCTGAGCAACGCCACATGTTAAGCCCGAGTGTAGCTCAGGGTTACCGCTCTTGGTACTGAAATTCACTCGGGAATACCGCTAAGGAGGTTAAAGTGGTAGTTATCTTTGCCAAAAAAAAAGAAGTCTCCCTGCAAGGTAATGACATAATGCAGTTAGCACATTATGAAAGACTTACCCTAAGGGCCAGTTCACACTACAAAAATGCACTCCAGATGCATTCCAGATACGTTTTTGCTTACAGTTCAGACCACATGCAGTTCTGGTGCAGTTTTGATGCAGTTTCTTATGTTCCAGTACAGTTCTGTGCAGAAAAAAATGCAGCATATTCTACTTTTTTTTCTGCACCGGAAACTGACTGGAACTCACTGCACTAGTGTGAACCAGGGTCATTAGAATACATGGAAAACACTGTACATGCATTTTTGATGCAGAAAAAAAAGTGCACTGAACTGCATCTAGTGTGAACTAGCTCTGAAGCAAAATCATCCAATGGTGCGCTGTTACCTCTTAAAGGGCTTTCATCTTCACCGGGTCTTCCTTTTGGGTTTATGAGAGTCTTCCTTCATGCAGATGGGTGTCATAGTTGCAGCACAGTGCTCTGGATTTACAGTATACTCAATATGCCTTAAATGCAGAGGGCTGTGCACATGCACCGTTGACGTCATCGTCTGCAGAGATATAGAATATTTCCTTAAAAGTTTGGGAGATATTCATTGCTATATTGCAAGCTTACCAGTTGGTACAAGTGGCCATGCAGTGTTTACTACCATTTTAGCTGCTTCCCATCCTCCCTATAGCAGTAGTACTGCTACACGGTGGCACGGGTGCACAAAATCACGTATATATACATGATTTAGCATTTTTTGGTAGGGGGGGGGCCCACAAGCCCTGGGCCACCATTCACTCCTGTGGCTGTCAATCACCGGGTCCCGCACGGTGATTGCCGAGAATCTCCGACAGGGAGGAGAACTGTTTATAAACAAAGCAGTTCTCCTCTCTGTCAGCTCATGCACACTGCTTTGCATGGCTGTGCGTAGCACAGCCATGCAAAGCAGTGTGCTTACAGTGAAGCACAAACACACAGCCCCTAGCAAAACAGCACACAGTTAACCATTTGATGCCCCAGATGTTAACCCCTTCCTACCCAGTGTCATTAGTACAGTGTCAATGCTTTTTATTAGCACTGATTACTGTATTGGTGTCACTGGGGATGTCAGTGACACCAATTAAGTTCAGTGATCGCTGCCATTACTAGTAAGATTAGAAAAAAAAATCCCAGTATATATACCACCATTTGTAAACACTATAACTTTCACGTAAACCAATTAATTTACACATATTGGGATTTTTTTTTAGCAAAGACATGTAGCAGAATACATTTTTGCCTAAATTTATGACGAAATTTGATTTTTAAATTTTTTTTACTGGACATGTTTAATAGCAAAAAGTTAAAAAATTATAGTTTTTTTCTCAAAATTGTCACTTTTTTTTAGAGCGCCAAAAATAAAAAAATGCACAGGGAATCAAATACCACTGAAAGAAAGCTCAATTCATGGGATAAAAGGACATAAATTTCATTTGGGTGCAGCATTGCATGACTGCACAATTGTCAGTTAAAGTAATGCAGCGCCGCAAATACCCGGATCACCGAGGACACTTTTACCACATGTAAGGATGGGCTGTAGGTCTATATCATGACATGCTTTAGGGGGTTTTTGATCCATGGGTTACCCACTGACCGATCTTGCACGTACCAGATTCTAAGCCTTATTACTACCTTTCTGGCTTGGCTAATACTTAGGGAGGTGATCCAATTTAACTTTTTATTACCTACTGTATACATTCTACTGTCACTTAACCCCTTACACCCCCCCTCCCCAAATTATTATTATTATTATTTTTTTTTTCCTTCCCCCATATTCCCCCCACCATCTCATCCTACATTTCTTTTTCTTACTGTTCTTCTTTCCGACCTCCTTTTTTTTCACACCTGTTATACCACCTTATCATTCATTCTTCACCAACCAAACAGAGCATTTACTTCCACACAGATATGACTAACTGCAACTATATCATTCACTCAAGTTATAAATACGTAAACCATGACTTTCACAGCATCCAATGCTTTCCCTACCCTAATCTTCATATCACCTCATCATTAAAAATTGCTGATATTCAAGAAGTGACAACATATACATACATCATCGATCCTCTTTCCTCTGCATATCCACTGGTTTACATTTACTGAGGAAGAGGCAAGTCCTCGAAACGCGTCAGCCTTTTGGATGTTTATACTCCCTGTTGCGGACTGTTACTCAGCGTAGTGTTGACCCAGCTGTTCTTTATGATGTGCCTTGACTATATTTGCGAGTACAACACATACTTTATTTCTTATTAAACATTTTTTATGGTAATGCACTAGGCCTGTGCGCCCTCTGTTTTTTCTTTCCTCATTCGGTTTACATTGTATGTCTGACGTAATGTTCTACCCCATTTTGACTTGTATTACAGTTTACAATATGTCCCATCTGCGAAACGGGAGGCAACATGTCATGTTTATGTTCTGACTGTGATCTATAGCTGTATATGCTCTATATGCTATTTTGTTTCTTCTTATATTAATAAAGTTTTTTTGGAACAAAAAAAAAGTAATGCAGCGCCGTAATGCAAAACATGGCCTGGTCAGGAAGGGGGGTAAATCCTCAGGAGGGCAAGTGGTTAAAGAAAAGGGGCACTACCAAATCACTGCTGTTTATCTGGATCTCCCGATTCTTTGGCACTGGAGACATTGTTTTTTTTAAAATATCATAGCATAATAGCATAAAATAGCATAATAGCATAAAATATCATCATCCTTCTAGATTTGTTGGGGGAGTACTGTTATCTCTTTGAGAGGTAACAAATATCTGTGTTACAATATTGAATGTGAAAATATATAGTATATATGATTCTAAGTCTAGTTTTTGTAAAGTGATGCTATTCACAGTTCTGATGTACAGATGACCACTAGAGGAAGCATTTAGGAATGGCGATATAAAACAAAAACATCAAAATATGAAACAACTAGCCAGATAAAAGGTGAACGTGACATCAAACATTTCTTTAAGGTAACTGTCACAATGATAACTCAAAATGTGTGTTTACTGAAAATGCAGCATGGTATTCCTTTAACCACTTGAGCTCCAGAGGGTTTACCCCCCTTAATGACCAGGCCTCTTTTTGCTACTCGGCGCTGCACTAATTCAACTGATAATTGCGCGGTCATGCAATGCTGCACCCAAACGAAATTTACGTTCTTTTTTTCACACAAATAGAGCTTTCTTTTGGTGGTATTTGATCATCTGTGCGCTTTTTATTTTTCACGCTATAAACATAAAAAGGCCAAAAATTTTGAAGAAAAACAATATTTTTTACTTTCAGCTATAAAAAATATATAGTAAACTCAAAGTTGGTTATAAATTTAGGCCAAAATGTATTCTGCTACATGTTTTTGGTAAAAAAAAATCTCAATGAGTGTATATTGATTACTTTGTTATAGCGTTTACAAACTATGATACAAATACTGCAACTTACGCCATTTTTCTGCTATACAGCGCTGCGCTAGTTTAACGGACAATTGCGCAGTCATGCAATACGGTACATAAATGAAATTTACATCCTTTTTTTTCCCCACAAATTGAGCTTTCTTTCGGTGGTATTTAATCGCCTGTGCGGTTTTTATTTTTTGCGCTATAAAAAAAGGCTGACAATTTTGAGGAAAAAAAAACAATATTTTGGACTTTTTGCTATAAAACATGTCCAGTAAAAAAAAAAATGCAAAAATCAAATTTAGTCATAAATTTCTGCCAAAATGCATTCTGCGATATGTCTTTGCTAAAAAAAAAAAACCAATACGTGTAAATTAATTGGTCTACGTGAAAGTTATAGCGTTTACAAATGGCGGGAAAGATACTGGGATTTTTAGGGTTTTTTTCATACTAATAATGGCGGCGATGAGCGAATTATGGCGGCAATCAGGGACTTATGGCAGCGACCAGTGACTTATGGCGGGACTGCGGGATTGTGGCGGACATTCTGACATTGGGGGGTACTGACTTGGGGTCACTGACATCCCCAAAAACACTAATACAGTGATCAGTGAAAAAAAAAAAAAAAAAACCTGACACTGTACTAATGGCAATAGGGAGGAAGGGGTTAACTTTATTTTGCAGGGAAGGGTTATAGGAGTGAGGGGAGTGTTTTACTAGGGGGCGGAGGTGTGTGCTGCACGGGACAAGGCTGATCGAGAAAGAGAAACTCTTCTTTCTCGATCAGCTCATTCTCGAGCTGACAGGGAAGTGACAGACAGCACAGCTACTGCAGCTGTGCTATCTGTCACTGTTTGACGCCGATCGCCGGAACATAGCCGCTAACGAGCGACTGTGACCCGGCGACTGACATCTGCGGTGGTGATCCGCGGGACAAATAGGGCGGAGGCGCACCTCGCGGCCCCTATTTGTTTACAAAACACACGTCTTAAAACGTGGTTTTGCCTGTGAGTGCCGCCCTGCCGCCGTATATGTACAGTGGCTGGGCGGCATGCGGTAATTGGGACTAATACAGCTGTGCGGCTACATAGTTATCAGGAACAGATGACCTGTTGGTGCTCCTTGGGGATCATACAATGAGGAAATAAAAAACAGAGGGCGCACAGGCCTAGTGCATTACCATAAAAAATGTTTAATAAAAAATAAAGTATGTGTTGTACTCAAAACGACAATATAGTCAAGGCACATCATAAAGAACAACTGGGTCAACACCGCGCTGATAACAGTCCTCAATAGGGAGTATAGAGATCCAAAAGCTGACGCGTTTCAAGGACTTGCCTCTTCCTCAGAGCCAAATGACCAAATGTCTGCTCCCTCTTTTCCCATACATTCGCACCGCATCCGCACCAAAAACGTGCAGGACCCTTTTTTTGGTCCGCACTAGAATCGGATTGCATGGGTATTCGCACCTATGTGATCCAATTCTGCACATCGCACTGCATTTTGCAGACCGCTTTCGGGGTGTTGTTAACTTAACATACACACCCGCAGCGGTTCGCATTAATGGGGGGCAATTCTGATGCAGTGCGGAATTCGCACAGAAAACGCAGTGTGAACCAGGGCTAAAACCTGTATTTTTGGTCATTTGCAATGTATGCACAAATGTTTATTTTGAGCCTCCTCCTCAAATTAGGTTCCATTCAAATCTAGTTTTATTCATTTTCATGACTTTCTTCCCAACAAAATGTTAATCTTAACGACAACAAGATTATTTTTCTTGGTGAGCATGCCTCTTGTTTGTTTGTTTTATTCTGCAAAGAACTTGAAGCGTGCTCAGCCGCCGCTAGCCTCGGACACAGTCATTTTTAATTTATGAAAACATATGCAAAAGCAAAATATTTGCACCGATGAAATGCGTAAACATGTCTCAGTAGCGGTGTTGACGTCTGCATCTGATAAAAACCTCACCGTTGTGTAACAAAACACGGCGCGCTAGTGATTAAGAGCCCAATGTCAGCCGCTAGAAAGTCCTCATGACCTTTTCTATTAGTTTATATTGATGCTGAAGCCAGGCACATATTGAAGCAATCAAATGCATAAGGCAGCAAACTCACTGTTGATTAAAAGTTGAGAACTGCATTGAATTTTTCAGAAGCATACAGACAGAAAGGTCGGAGTTAACCAGTTTAACTCTTTCATTACTGCCCGATTTTCCAACTAATTCCAGTCCAATTTATGAGCGCAAACAAAATTATCAATAGAGTTTCGCAAACGCCTTTGCGTCGGACAGCTTCATGAATCCACTTTTGGGAAACAATTTTTGTTTCTAGGTAGCAGATAAATGATGGTTTATTGTTAGTAATACATACTAGTTATGCAGAAATGATTATGTAGACATTACTATAAGAAAACTGTACTTTCATTTTAGAAACTTACACAGCATACATTGATAATATCATTTTTTTTTTTTCCCAATTATTGTAGATCTAAACTACAATAATTGTGTAAAATAGTTGCAATTTATTTTTTTCACAAAATAGTTACAATTTTTTTTTTCACAAAATGTTTTCACCTCTTCTCAGCCTTTGTTGCATCTCAGTGCTGCTGATCTCCTGCAGCCTATGTACAGCCTCTTCTTGTCTATGTGCATTCACTCCAGTGATAGATACATGAAGTGCATGCACAGTGCCTAAATGGTTAGCACTTTCGCCTGGTAGTACTAGGGTTGCTGGTTCAAATCCCGACCACAGCACCACCTGCCTGGAGTTTGCATGTTCTCCCTGTACCTGCGTGGGTTTCCTTTGGGTACTCTGGTTTCCTCCCACTCTCCAAAGACATGCTGGTAGGTTAATTGGCTCCTGTCTAAATTGGCCCTAATATGTGTATGTATGGATGTGAGTTAGGGGCCTTGGATTGTACACTCCTAGAGGGTTAGGGACTGATGTGAATGTACAATATATATGTAAAGTGCTGTGTAAATTGACAGCACTCTATAAGTACCTGAAATAAATAAATAAAATTTCCAAGACAGGTTTCCTTATGGTGACAACAGTGGACCTCCATATGAATGGTGTCAACTTCAAAACGTGAAGCTCCTGAAAAAACACCTTCAAGACAGACTCACTAGATAATTTTTTTTACACTTGCAAATGTAAAAGTGAGATTTTAGAAACTGGGTTTATATATACCTTAAAGCGTATTTCCACTTTTGCAGCCAAATTTGAGAAAACTTCTAATTCGCATTGGAAGTGTGAATTCCAATCTCATCATATTTTGTATCTCAGTGCTGCTGAGCAGCCTATTCACAGCCTCTTCCTGTCCATGTGTATGCACTCCAGTGATGGCTACGTGGCATTTCCCAAGACAGGTTTCCTTATGGTGACAATTGGACCTCCATATGTCAACAAGACAGTTGGGGCACAAAGACAGAGCGGTGTCAACCTCAAAACGTGAAGCTCCTGAACAAACACCATCAAGACAGACTCACTAGGTATTATTTTTTTATTCCTGCAAATGTAAAAGTGCGATTTTAGAGGCTGGGTCTATTTAAAGTGTATTTCCACTTTTTGCGGTCAAATTTGAGAAAACTTCCCATTTACACATCATACATAAAATTATATATATATATATATATATATATATATATATATATACACACACACAGAGGTGTTAAATTTAGATTAAAATATAATTACACCATGGGAGGCATCATCCCCACATAGATCACCAAATATAAATATATAATAATTGCAAGATACTTGGAACTTTAAAGTGAAACTTCACCCAAAAGTTCCGCTCTTCCTCCTCCACCCAACTACTCTGACATATTTTGCACAATTTTTTTTTTTTTAGGGGGTTTGACAGGTACCCATTCCCACTTCTGCTCACATCGCTTAGGTGATCCAAGCGAAGGCTCTCCCTTCCCCCTCCTTGCCCCCAACCTCCTGGGACATGTAACAGGTCCCAGAAGGCTACAGGAGCATTCAAAAAGCACCTTGAAACTCACGCTTGCACAGTGGGCAAGTGACTAAAGAACAGCTTTATTTGTGCCTTTGATAGTTATATACACACATATCACAATTATCTGTTAAAGTTCTCATGGCTTTATTACAAAACTTGAAATTAAAACTGCCAAATTAGCCAATAAAAACACAATATAGATAAGAAAGCACAAATGGCGGTACATAGTAGTCACTCTGAGGACCATAGTCTACGCATTTCGTGGGACAGCCCGCTTCTTCAGGACTTTTCAGGCCTCAGAAACATATCAACAATTTTTTTACAATGAACACTCCCTCAGTGCAAACACCCTCCAAAGATTGGTGGGGGGGCACAACAAGCCTACTTGGCCCTAGGCATTCCATAGAACTGTCAAGCCAAGATCACAATGCAGATATCTTTTAAATGGTTCTTTGATAAAATATCATTAAGCTCTCTCTGTCCATCACATGACAGATGTACTCCACCACAGGATACTGGGGTTGATTTACTAAAACTGGACAATGCTAAATCTGATGCAGATTTGCAGAGAAACCAATCAGCTTCCAGGTTTTATTGTCAAAGCTTAATTGAACAAGCTGAAGTTTGAAGCTGATTGGCTGCAATGCACAGCTGCATGAGGTTTTGCACTTTCCAGTTTTAATGAATCAACCCCAATGTGTCATGGCTGATTCAACAAATTTCTGGACTGTCTCACATTGTCTTTGTCCACTGCAGACTGAGCTATGCCTCATTACCTTACAATGCAGGAGGGAAGTTTCAAAATATTTAAATCTTTGTTAGGACAGACAGTGTTCAAATCTAATTTACAACTAATAATAAGGATTTGCTAACACAGTAAGGTCAGGGTTATTTAGGTTAAACACTACTCCACAGCCACCTCCTAAACATCACAAAGCAGGGAGAGCATGTAAGAATCTTCAAGTAAAAAGCACATAAAAAAGTAACTAGTCATTTTTATTTTGTTGTTACTGGGGAACATTTTAAATAATGTGAACCAGCGCTCAGGGGTGGACTGACAACTCATGGGGCCCCCGGGCAATAGGGGATCATGGGGCCCCTGTGTCCTTGCCCAAACTCAAAAAAGCCTATGAAAAAGGTATCAGGGGCATCTCATGGGGCCCCCTAATGACCCCGGGTCCTCGGGCAGTGCTCGAGTTTCCAAATGGTCAGTCAGCGCTTTGGATGTGATCCTTTCATTCACCACACCATTCATTCTTGTTGTACCAAGTGCTCTACTAATCATATCAACCCTTATGTATACTCTATCTATTATACAGTGCTGTTGGTTTTTGTTTAACCACTTGCCCTCCAGAGGATTTACCCCCTTTCCTGACCAGACCATTGTTTGCGATATGACGCTGCGGTATTTTAACTGACAATTTCAAGGCTGCGACCAAATAAAATGTAAAATAATGGATAAGACCTTCTGCACTTTAAATGGAACACTAGAGAGAAACTGCTGTCACCTGACCTGACTTCACTAGGTAAAATTGCAATGTTAAAAGAAACGGTGAAGCGCTAGCAATATAAAATACAGGAAATAATTATATAAAATGAAACATATAAACAGCAAACAAACAAAATAGCATACGTCACATGACATGTACAGTAAAATAACAGTAGTGCTAATCCAATCGGAACTCAAAGGTGCTGTTAAAAGTGAAACAGGTATAACTTGTAGCCATAAAGTGCTGTTAGGAGTGAAACAGGTAAACCCCTGTAGCCATAAAAGTGGACCCTTTTTCCTGATGGGAAAAAAAAAACAGCCTCCCCCTGTCCACGTAGGGGACTAATAATATGATAAAGTGACCCCTCAGGGGGTAAAAACACAACACAAGGTGACCAATGCCAGTGGTGAATAATCAGTCACAAGTACTATAATACATGCACATGCATAAATACAAATGTATTATATGTAATGTAATATATGTGTTACGGATCTGCCAGGTGGTGCCTCTGGCAGCCCACTTGACAGGATTACCCGAAGCGTGGAGTCTAAGTCCCGGTCTGCATTTTCACCAGGGACCCTGATGGTGGGGATGGACTTGGAGCAGAACCAGGACCAGGTCACGACCTCCGAGCAATCCCACCAGTGGCAGAGGGAACCTCCGGGGATGTGTGTACACCAGAAGAGAGCCAGATGTGAGGAGGCCGGCAGGACCAGGCAGGATAGCGGTTGTCACCGTGGGGGACGGCGAGGTACAGAGTCGACAGGCAGAGAGTTGTCAGGTCACACGCAGGGTCAGTAATGTAGTCAGTCCGCAGAATGGTCAAACAAGCCGGGGATCAGGATAGGAGAAGGCAACGTAGTCAGGGGCAATCCGGGTCAAACTCAGGAGAAGGCAGCGTAGTCAAAACAATCCGGAACAGAGCTGGAGCAGGCAGAGAGGTCAAACAATCCGGGTCAACAATCACAGGGCACAGGAACTCAGGTTACAGATCAGACCTTGCGGCAACCTGTGACAGTGCAGGGCATCTTCAAATATCGCGCCCTGCACTGTCATTGGCCGCCCAGGACGTGCCCCTGGCTGTCATTGGCCACTCAGGGCGCGCCCGCGGCTTCTACTGCGCATTTGTGCGGATTCCTGTCAGCCGCAGCCCACCGGGACCTGGTGCTTGTATCCCGGCGCGAACCGCCGCTAGTGCGCGTGTGCCAGGGAAGGCGCCGCGGCGGTCCCTGACAATATGCCAATGCACAAGTGCATGCAATTGGTATATACGTCCAAAATGCAGAATGACAACAAGCCAACAAACTGGTGCTCGTGAGAAGGTTTTCTTCAAACTAGGTGACAGGAATCCTAAATGGCAGAAATGCCTCCTCACCTCCAAACAGCGACCACAAGGGCCAGCTCGCCTTATGACTCTCACCACGATCACAGAGAACAGGTCACGCCCAGATCAAGATGTTGCATAGGATCCTTTCCCAATAGTACTCTTAGGTTACACTCCCCTCAGGGCCATACCGCAAAAATATAAGCAAAGAACATCCTCCATAGTGTAGCATGTTTATTGATCATCAAAATATAAATTAAAATTGCCCACTCACATGAGAAAATAGAAAAAAATGCATTGCCACCACTTAGTAAGGGTGTACTGCATGGATCCTTAGACTGAGCCCAAATTGGTGTCCAAGCGTAAGTGCGTCACCAGAATTGACGTACCGACCTGTTGCGTCACAATCACGTGACTTCCTCCGGGTATACCAAATAAAATTTGCATCCCTTTTTTCCCAGAAATAGAGCTTTCTTTCAGTTGCATTTGATCACCTCTGTGTTTTTTATTTTTGCGCTATAAACAAAAAAAGACCAACAATTTTGAGGAAAAAAACTATATTTTTGACTTTTTGCTATTAAATGTGTCCAGTAAAAAAATGGAAAAAATCTAATTTTGTCATAAATTTAGGCCAAAATGTATTCTGCTACATGTCTTGGCTAAAAAAAATCCAATACATGTAAAGTTATTGGTTTACGTGAAAGTTATAGTGTTTACAAATGGCAGTTTATATACTGGATTTTTTTTTTTTTTACTAGTAATGGCAGCAATCAGTGACTTATAGCAGGACTGCGGCAGGCATTCTGACACTGGGGGGAACTGACTTGGTGTTTCTGACATCCCTAGTGACACCAATACAGTGATCAGTGCTAAAAAAAAGCACCGACACTGTACTAATGACACTGGGCAGGAAGGGGTTAACCTCCCTAGCGGTATTCCCGAGTGTAGCTCAGGGTAGAATTTCAGTACCACAAGCGGTAACCCCGAGCTACACTCGGGCTTACCATGCGGCGTTGCTCAGGGATTCCCTGCAGCGATTACCTTGTCCTTCGCTCCCGCAATGCGTCCCCTGCAGCGTCCCCGGCCATCTCCTCCGGCCGATGCCGGCATCCGGCTTCCGTGTTCCTGTCCCTGTGACGTTGGGACGTACGGCGGCAAATTTGAAAGATTTAAAAAATGTCGTTTTTTTAAAAACGATTATTAAATAGCAAAACATTGCTGTTTCAAACCATTTCACATACATTTTGTCCCGAGTGCTTTGTCCTGCGCCCTGCCTGCATTTTGAAAGTTCTTTCTACCTGGAAACTGGGAAAAGTCCATGGCGTCCAAAATCCATCCCTTTCGGTCAAAAGTGGTTTTAGACCAGCTAGAGAACAGTTATAGTAAATCAGAACCACTTGCAGAATTGAGTGATAATGATTTGTGGGGAAATTCGTCATCAGACACTGAAAACGATTTTCGAACTTTGCTCAGCGATGTGCGAACTTGGCGCTATATTTCAAATTTCAGTGTTTTTGGTTTGATTATATTATTGAATTACATTTTTTATTATTATTATATTATTATTTTTTATGATTATTTATGAAATTATAATTTATGATTTTGTGTTTCAAGTTTTATCATATCCGTAATGTTTACTAGACTCTTGTTTGGACAGATTTCAGTCATTTATTCCTAAAAATGACAGGCCTACAATAAAAAAACTACATATTTCCATGCAAAATAATGGTACCGCTTTCAGCACCAAAAATCTGAAATAATCATACCTCCAGGGAGGTTAACATGTGAGGTGATCAAAGGGTTAACTGTGTGCTGTGTGCTGTATCACAGTGTGCTGTGTTTGTGCTTTCCACTGTAAGCAAACTGCTTTGTATGGCTATGCTATGCAGAGACATACAAAGCAGTGTGCAGAAGCTGGCAAGGGAGAGATCTGTGTTGTTTATACACAGGTCTCTCCCCCATTGGAGATACTCAGTGATCACTAGGTGCCAGTGAGTAATCACTGGTCAGAACCCGGTGATTGACAGCCGAGGCCGCGAATTGCAGCTCAAGTAGGGCGCACATGAGTGTGCCCCCTACCCGGAACTGCAAAGTCACGTATATATATGTGATTTCGCGCACCCATGCTGCCCTGTAGCAGTTATTCTGCTATAGGGTGGTGTGGAACCAGTTAAACATGTGCAATAAACAAGCATATTCTCTGCAATGCTCATATTCTCAAATAAAAATTAAACATGATTCAATGAAGTGTCCTTTGTGCTTCAATAAAGTCTCTTTGTGCATATAAAGTGTCCAAGTACTTTCAGTTATTCACAATGTAATGCACAATGCCTTCAACTTATTAAAGAGTCCATGCTCAAAAATTGCTCCATTTCCAACAATCAGTGCCATAGTGTTCCTGAAATCCTCCACCACAAACACCGAATACTCACCAGATTTATTTGACTACCTATCACAGATGAGCCATACAACGCTTAGTATCATGGATCACCACCATCAGCTTCTCCTTCTTGGGCCAACTGTACTCTTTCCTTTTAAATGTCTCACACAGCAGGTAGGGAGAGATGGAGGGAGACTACCATAGTGTGAGATCTCTAAAACCTTTTATTTATTAATTTCCACAATGCCCATTCACATTGTTAGGTGCAGGGGTGGACTGACAACTCATGGCAATAGGGGATCATGGGGCCCACACCCAAAAAAGCCTATGAAAAAGCCGATGAAAGGTACCAGGGGCATCTCATGGGGCCCCGTACTGACCCCAGGCCCTCGGCCAGTGCCCGAGTGCTCGAATGGTCAGTCCACCCCTGGTAGCTGCATATTCTATATACCTCATAAGCATAGGGATAACACAGATCTGGCTCTAGGCTTTTTCACCGCCACCTTCTCCTGTACTAATCCCTCCAGAGGATTTCCCCCCCTTCATGACCAGGCCATTTTTTGCGTTACGGTGCTATGTTACTTTAACTGACAATTACGCGGTCATGCAATGCTACACATGAATTAAATTTACGTCCTTTTTTTCCCACGAATATAGTTTTCTTTTGGTGGTATTTGATCGCATATGCGGTTTTTATTTTTTGTGCTATAAACTAAAAAATAAGAACGACAATTTTGAGAAAAAAACAATATTTTTTACTTTTTGCTATTGAACATGTCCAATAAAAAAATGTCAAATTTCTTCATAAATTGAGGCCAAAATGTATTCTTTTACATGTCTTTGCTAAAAAAAATCCCAATAAGTGTAAATGAATCAGTTTACATGAAAGTTATAGTGTTTACTAATGGAGGTATATATACTGGGATTTTTTTGTTATTCTTTTTTTTTACTAGTATTGGCGGTGATCAGCGACTTATAGTGGGACTGCGGCAGGCATTCTGACACTGGGAGGGAACTGCCTTGGTGTCACTGACATCCCCAGTGACACCACTACGTTGATCAGTGCTAATAGAAAGCACTGACACTGTACTAATGGCACGGGGCAGAAAGGGGTTAACACATGGAGTGATCAAAGGGATAACTGTGTGCTGTTTTACTAGGGGCTGTGTCTGTGTGCGTCACTGTAAGCACACCAAAATGTATTCTGCGACATGTATTTGCTAAAAAAAATCCCAATGCGTGTAAAATAATTGGTTTATGTGAAAGTTATAGTGTTTACAAATGGCGGTATAAATACTGGGATTTTCTTTTCTAATTTTACTAGTAATGGCAGCGATCAGCGACTTATAGCGGGACTGCGACAGGCATTCTGACACTGGGGGGAACTGACTTGGTGTCACTGACACCCCAGTGACACCAATACAGTAATCAGTGCTAATAAAAATCATTGACACTGTACTAATGACACTGGGTAGGAAGGGGTTAACATCTGGGGCATCAAAGGGTTAACTGTGTGCTGTGTGCTGTTTTGCTAGGGGCTGTGTGTTTGTGCTTCACTGTAAACACAGCCATGCAAAGCAGTGTGCAGGAGCTGACAGGGTATAGAACTGCTTTGTTTACAAACAGTTCTATCCCCCGCCGAGATGCTCGTCAATCTTCAGGCGCCAGCGAGTAATCACCGGCTGGGACCCAGTGAGTGATAGCCGTGGCCGCAAATGGCGGTGCGGGTAGGGCACGCGCACCTCGCACGCACCCCCTATTCGGAAATACAAAATCACGTATATATATATATATGTGTGTGTGTGTGTGATTTTGAGTACCAATGCCGCCCTGTAGCAGTGCTTCTGCTATAGGGTGGACGGGAAGCAGTTAACCACTTCCCGTGTCACTGTTTGGGATGGCGTCCCATGTAAGAATTTTTAAGCAAGTAAAAAGCACATACAAAGGTAACCAGCAATTTTTATTTTGTTGTTACTGGACATGTAGCAAATACAAAGTAGATGTTAGCCCAACTTTCCTGCAAAGGGGAAAATTTGCTTTCACTGAATGTATTTTTCAGTAAATGTGAAGCCTCACTTCAAAGATACTGAGGCAGTTTGTCTGTAGAATCATTTGGTTCTCTTATTTAGATGACAAAAATAAAGAAGATCAGTGGAGTCAATGACGGGCCATATTTAGGGGTTTTATTATTTCCCATTGCAGACCAAATTCATTATACTACTAGAAATGAGCGAACATCAAATACATATCTAAGGAATAAAATGACAAATAGTTTTGTTCTCCTGAGCCTGGGAGTGTTGCATGACTGGTAGTCTTTCGGCAATGTCAGTGCTTTTGAATGAACAGCAGACCTGCACGCTGAGTCTGCTTTGCCTGGGATGTAGAGGCGGGGGGGACCACAAGTCTGACCCTGCCGCGGGAAACTTTCATTACTCTCAAGCAGGAGATGAAAGAATAACTCCCCTGTAGCTGATTCTGCCAACAAGAAAGTTAAAATTATTTTTATTTAATTAATTTACTTTGCTGTTGATTAACTTAATTTCCTTTCAGTCACTTTTTTCTGGATTATTTAAATGAAAATGTCAGCAGTAGATACAAAGTAAAAATTCATCATCAACAGCCAGACAGTCAAGTTCAAAGCTGAATTCCGGGTACGAAAAATTCCATTTAAATATATTCCTCAATAGACGCAATAGATCTAAATGTCCATTGTGTGCACTGGATGTCTTTTGCAAATACAGGCATTACCTTGTAGCAGTGTATTGATCACTGGTCTGTACATAGTCTGTGCAGAGCGCAACGCTGTGGGAGGGGCTCAGCAGGCTCCACCCACTACAGGTTGCCTGCAGAAAATGACAGGAGGGGGCAGAGACAAAACCAGTTCTCCTGCATAAGGAGATAGAGCAGCAGTGACTGGTCCTCTTTACAGGAAGCAACAGATATTCCCGATGAAAAGTTTTCTCTCTATTTTTGTTTTAGTGTCAACTCAAATTTTGGTTTCACAACTGTAGCAGGAAATATACCCCCTGTACCCCCGCTGATTGAGATCCATTTCAGTGAATGGGGGTGCTTGTGCAGGATCCAAGGGATTAACCACCTCCCACCCGCCATATAGCAATATGACGGATGACGCAAGGTGGTTCTCTCGTTCTGGGAGGACGTCATATGACATCCTCCCATTCTCACCGCGCACATGCGCGGCTCCCAGAACATGCAGCGCTGCGATCGGCAGTGAGCTGTGTCCCTCAGACACAGCGGATCACTGATCACGCTGACAGCTCATGAGGTGAGGAGAGCCGGTAATCGACTTTCCACAGAGGGGACATGTACACTGATCATCAGGGCACTGATGATCAGTGTGCCCTGATGATCAGTGTAGCCCCAGCAGTGCCACCTGTCAGTGTCCATCAGTGCCTTGTGTCAGTGCTCATCAGTGCTTCATGCCAGTGCCCATCAGTGCCTCATCAATGCCACATATCAGTGCCTACCAGTGCACATCAATGCCACATATCAGTGCCCATCTGAGCTGCCTTTCGGTGTCACCCATCAGTGCCAGTCAGTGCCACCTATCAATGCCAATCAGTGTCACCTATCAGTGCTGCCAATCAGTGCCACCTATCAGTGCCAATCAGTGTCACCTATCAGTGCTGCCAATCAGTGCCACCTATCAATGCCAATCAGTGTCACCTATCAGTGCTGCCAATCAGTGCCACCTATCAGTGCCAGTCAGTGTTGCCTATCAGTGCACATCAGTGCGCCTATCAGTGCCTGTCAGTGCCACCTATCACAGTACCTGTCAGTGCCACCTATCAGTGCCAGTCAGTGCCGCCCAGTGATGCCATTTCAGTGCCATATACCAGTGCCATGTATCAGTGATGCCTTTCAGTGCCCATCAGTGATGCCTGTCAATGCCCATCAGTGCCACCTATCAGTGCCCATCAGTGCCACCTATCAGTGTCCATCAGTGCCCATCACTGCAGCCTCATTAGCGCACATCAGTGAAGGAGAAAAATCACCTATTTACAAAATGTTATAACAAAAACTAATAAAAAACTTTTTTTTTTTCAAAATTTTCAGTGGTTTTTGGTTTGTTTAAGAAAAAATAAAAAACCTAGAGGTGATTAAATACCACCAAAATAAAGCTCTATCAGTCACAAAAAAATGCTAAAAATGTCATATGGGTACAGTGTTGTATGACCGCGCAATTGTCATTCAAAGTGCGACAGTGCTGAAAGCTGGAAATTAGCCTGGACAGGAAGGGGGTATAAGTGCCCTGTAGGCTAGTGGTTAAAGCAAGCAGTGAGGAGACACCCCTCACTGGCTGCCAAATGTTCTCTAAAGGTCAGTCTGAACGCAAATCGTTCTTCAGAGAGCATTGCACATGTGAACAATTCCATATGGTGACACTATGACTGGCGTGGCCATGATCACGGACACTGGAACTGGTGTGCCAGTGAGTAGGGACACTGGGACTAGTGTGGTGGCGATAAGAGACAAAATGACTGGTGTGCCAGTGATAAAGGGACAATATGAAAGGTGTGGCATTGATTAGGAACAGTTGAACTGGTGTGCCAGTGAGTAGGGACACTGGGACTGGTGTGGCAGCAATAAGGGACAATATGACTGGTGTGGCAGTGAGTAGGGACACTGGGACTGGTGTGGCAGCAATAAGGGACAATATGACTGGTGTGGCAGTGATAAGGGACAATATGAATGTTGTGGCAGTGATAAGGGACAATATGACTGGTGTGGCAGTGATAAGGGACAATATGAATGGTGTGGCAGTGATAAGGGACAATATGAATGGTGTGGCATTGATCAGGGACACTGTGAAGGGTGTGGCAGTGATCAGGGACACCGGAACTGGTGTGCCAGTGAGTAGGGACACTGGGAATGGTGTGACAGTGATCAGGGATTCTGTGAGAGGGTGTCGGTGATTAACCACTTCCCAACCACCCTATAGCAGAAGTACTGCTACAGGGCAGCAGGGATGCACAAAATCACGTATATATACTTGATTTTGCATTTCTGGATAGGGGGCGCATGCGCTCCCTGCCCGCGCACTCCCTACCCATGCCACTATTGGCTCCTCAGCATGTCAATCACCGGGTCCCGGCTGCTGATTCTAGGCCGGGACTCAGTGATTATTGGTGGAGCTGACAGGGGAGAGGTCTGTATGTAAACAATACAGATCTCTCCCTGTCAGCATGAACAGGCTGCTTTGCACCATAAAAATGTTCCAATTTCATATTTATTGTATATGTCTTAACTGGGTCTCTGTGCTTCTCCATGCAATGTGGGCAGATTATGGCCAGTGGTAGGGACCAGCAGGGTGCTGTATATAGCTTTCTGAAAGCATCACTGCACCCTGATTCAAGCAAAGGGTTGGGTTTTGAGATGAGTCATGCAAATATCAAAATGTCTTGATGTGTGGATATCAGTCTGGAGGAGTGGGGAATCCTAGCTAGGTTGTATTTGCACACAGACTGCCCAGGTAATGAGATGCTGAGTCTCTATGACTGAAAATGATTTCCAATGAATGGAAAAAGGGACAGGCCACTCTGAATGGCTACTGATCGTTAGTGGGGACTAAGAGCTGTTTTTCAGAGCTTGGGCTCTGTGCTGGGAGCACACACTCAGCACAGAAACATCAGCCACCATGTAACACATATGTGTATTTGACTCAAATTCATTTAAATTTACTACCTAAAATATACCCAACCAGGGAATCAAGTGTAATCTGTGCTTGATTAGCTGCACTGGAGGGCAGGGGAGGACATTTGGGGTCTGATAGACCCCTGATGTATCCATAAAGTGTACCTGTCACCTGTCCATGTTATCATATAGGGGGCTTCTTACCCCCTTTGTTGAATAACAATATATCCATAAAGTTAAAGGTTAAAAAAAAAAAAAAATGTGTAAAAAATTACATTTTAATTTAATTTGCAGGTACAAGCAAATGCAAACAAACATGCAGTTTCCCACACGTGTATATAAACAGCGATTGTGCCACACATGTAAGGTATCACTGCAAATGTCAAAATGAGAGCAATAATTCTGGGGCCATCATTGATGACCAACTCTACACTTATAATTTGTAGTAGCTGTCAGAACATCATCTATGAAAAAATGTTGATGCCATTTCATGGGTCAAGCTAAAAATATAATAAACTAGAAAAGCAACCCATGATTAAAAGAGCAAGATCATGTACATTGAAGATTAAATATCACAAAATTGTATTTTTTTTCATCAGCAGTGCTTGTTCTGGAAATCCTTGTGCCAGGCAATATTTTAGCAATCAGTTAAGGAGTGATTCCCTTTCCTTGGTTTTCCTTTGAACAATAGAAGAGCCCTGATTTCAGCACTGTCTTTTCCACGAGACCTAATTTTTCAAAAGCATTGTTAGGGGGAAAGCCTGTGCTCTGATGACTCGTCTACTGCAAATGAGCCTACGTACATCGTCAGAAGCCCAATCAGTGGATTTCAATAATCTGATCATAACACCATAATTGCTTCCAAGAAATACAGTTTTGTTTTATTAGACACATAAGTCTACAGTGCTGATATCCCTTTCTTTTCATTAGAACAGAATTGATAGTATTCTTCACACATTAAAGTGTCTCTAAAGCCAAAACTTTTACTTTTTTTAATTTTGGATAGTAGGGTAACACTAATCCCAAAGGTGCCGCTTTGTAAGTTTGGGTTCTCTGTTCTGTGCCTTTGACTCCAAGGACAACGTTGACCCCTCTGATATACCTGGTGGACTAAAATTCACAGGAAGCACATGCTGTATAATTACACAAGAGTAAAATACCTTTAAACTGGCTGTGGGTGACTACCAGTAAATAGACACACACCCGTTTAGTGGTAAATGCTCTTAATCTATTGATACGGATTGGAATAAATGGCAAACTGAACATGAATGAACACCCAGCTGATAAAATGTTACATTGGCAAACATTCTGATTTAGGCTCAGTTCACACTAGCTTTGTCAGCAGGCATCAGACAGGCATTTGGGAAGCGTTTTTAATGCTTCTCAAACTCTGCACATAGCAGCACACAGTGCTGTTCACACTGAAGCGTTAGCATTGCGTCACGTTGCGTCGAGGCAAAACTGATGCCTTGTGTTGAGTCAGGAGGAGTTGAAGCCTCCCAATAAACTCTATGGTGCTGCTCCGCAAATGCCTGGCAGGCATTTGCGGTGCGATTGCGAGGTGGTTTCGGAGCATTAATACCATTTAACATCATTAGTAAAATAATATATAAACAGCGCAAGTCAACCTCCTCACCATATAAACAAAATTGTTCTATAAAATCAAAAAAAAAATATTGATAAATTAAATAATGATATTAGTGTCCAAAAAAATATTTTTTTTTGAACACCTATATATATTGTGGCAATGCGGTGTCCTGCCATGGTCAAAATCAAGCTGATAACCCTGGATTCTCAACCAGGCAGGTTGAGGGGCTGCAGAAGATTGATGTAATGCAGAGGAAACTGGCTTTTCGGTTTTCTCATTTATTCATAGAGTCTGTTTTGGGATCTGGAGTCTGGAGATTTCAAAGAGATCTGGGAGGGATGAAATCTCCAATCGGGGTCCGTGTTTTGAGAACCCCCAGCACACACACTGATTGTACAGGTGGGTGCAGGGCTTTTTGTAGAGGCCTAACCCATGATTCTGGGCTCCACCCCGGCAGACAGGAGTCAGGAGGGCTCCACCCTGAAGACAGGAGTCAGGAGGGCTCCACCCAGAAGACAGGAGTCAAGAGGGCTCTACCCTGAAGACAGGAGTCAGGAGGGCTCCACCCTGGAAGATGGGAGTCAGGAGGGCTCCACCCCGGCAGACAGGAGTCAGGAGGGCTCTACCCTGAAGACAGGAGTCAGGAGGGCTCCACCATGGAAGATGGGAGTCAGGAGGGCTCCACCCCGGCAGACAGGAGTCAGGAGGGCTCCACCCCAGCAGACAGGAGTCAGGAGGGCTCCACCCTGGCAGACAGGACTCAGGAGGGCTCCACCCTGGCAGATGGGAGGTCTCTGCCTTGGAGTCAGGTGGGCTTCACCAAGGAGAGGTGGAAGCCAGACTGCTGTGCGCTAGTGGCCAGCTGTGTGCAGAGCCATATTTTGGGAAGAGTCTGCAGGAGACAGACATAAAACTGCGTACAAGCCAGGAGGCTGAATACTGTTTAATTTGCTTGATGGTGGATACCCCTGCATGGGAAGCATTTTTTTGTTTATGGAACTTTTTTCTTTTAAATAAAATTGGGCAAAAAGGCCCTTAAAGAAGCGAGTTGCTGTGTGCTTTAACAAGAAAAGCTCTACCATTTTGAAGCGAGTTCCCACAATATATATATTTTATATATTTTTTGGACACTAATATCATTATTTAACTTATCAATTTTTTTTATATTTTTTTGTATTTTTTTGGGACACTAATATCATTATTTAATTTTATCAATTTTTTTTGATTTATAGAACAATTTTGTTTATATGGTGAGGAGTTGTTTATATATTATTTTACAATTAATTGGTGTATTGCATCGGTGCACAGCAGCATATTTTTACCTCTATTGTTTATTGAAAGGTATTCCTGTGCGCTGGGGTGTGAGAGAGATATATACATTTAACATCATTATAGGCCTTTGTGGTGCAGTTTTAACACTTGGAAAATGTCTATCAATCGCCTCAGAACTGCACATGGGGCGATTGGGGAGCGTTTGGGGAGCATTTGAGGAGCATTAAA